GTTTATGGGTTTTTATACAAACTGCTGGTAAACTATTTATAAACAAAAAATTAGATGAACGACCTTATGAATGCGTTCATTTTTTCAAAGAACGTGAACGTGAACGAGTTCCTTTTTCAAGRACTGAACGTAAACGTGAACGAATTCATTTTTTTAGTGAACCTTCCGAACACTGCTACAGATTTAGGTAAAAAATCACATTTTCTGACAATACAGAACAGAATACTGTATCATAATTTATATTGTTCTAATATTTTTATATCTTATTTTTTTAGGTTGAACCGATGACGCTGTCATATATTTGCTGCCCTACAATAACGTTTGTTTGTTCTCGGCCCGGCCTGATAGCCAGCTGATCTCGCGAGGTTGTCAATTCCATTAGGTTGTTGTGCGGATTGGTGCTTCTTCAATGTTGATTTTCTGTAGTTTTACTATCTTCGTCTTCCATCAGTCATATTTTATATATTATTGTGAACAAATTTGATGTCTCTGTTAAGACTATAGAAGAGTTTTTCTCCGTGCAACCGAGCATAGTAGTTATTAGTTTAAATAATTCATGTAATGCATCCTCTTGGTTTTTAAAAATCATTAATTACTATTAATATGAAATATAACATTATAACATTAAATAGATATAATAATAAGCTAGTTTTATTTTTTAAATGTATTAATTTAACCAAGTAATAAATATTAATATTAGAAAGATTATTAAAATTTTTTTTAAATTATCAGTTAAACTATAAATTGTATAAAGCTACAATCAGTTCAATTAGATAAAATAATTTTGTAAAGCTTAATCGTTATGTACATACCATACACTTACCTACCTATATCGATTAATTATTATTAAATGGAGTTTAAAACGTTACCTATAGGTAGATACTATATAGGTACTAATAATATCGAAATTTGTAATAATAGTGTTGATGTACCTTTATTGCCTATACAATACGCCGTTAAACGAATCATGTCAAAAAAAATAAAACTAACCTGTTTTCGCCAATAACTGAACTACAAATAGTTGAGCTGGAGCATTCTAAATTTCAAAGCAATAATGAAACATTAAAACATTGCATTTGAAAACATATCTATGTGGAACTTGAATATTACAAAAATATACTAATTAAGTAATTTTGAGAATTATAGAAGGCTCATGTCATACTATTAATAGAAGATTTTTTTTTTTAAATTCAGTTCACATTTTAATT